AGAATAACTCCCAAAAGACTGAATAATGGTTTTGTTGCTATACTTTTGCACCTAATGTGCTCCTGTTTATTTGCTGAAGGCATGGGGAAATGCTTATGAGCTGTGTGTTCTTTATTTGAAATGTTCAGCAGAGAATCAGATGAAAAGTTTTGGGCTCTTTTTGTTTTATGTTCTACCTTAACAGTAAGAGGGTTTGCAATAGGAACTTTGTGTGCAAATAATGTGCATGGTGAGAATTTCCTTAAAGACATTAAAGATGGGATAAAAAAAGGGGATGCATGTATCCCTTTGATTTTTTTTATTTTTTTTTTAATTAATAACCTCCTGTAGTGCAGCTTGAAGTAGGAAAACCCTTTTATGCTTTTCTCAGAAGGAGAAAAACAGAGGGACTTAGGCTGCCTGAACCTGCTTGCTTCTTATGTGTACAGACTTCTACCAGAGTAGAAGGGGGAAATATGTAACACTGAGAAGAAAAAATAATTTCCTCTTCAGAAAGTGTATCTGAATGTGCTGGATCTACTCAATTTTAAATAATGCCATTCATTTTTAAAGTGTAAAAGCAAGTTATGCACCCTGTTGGTGGTGATTGAAGGGAACAAATCAGTTCAGTGCTATAGAAGTTGAACCAAACTTTTGTTCAGTCAGAGGATATTAGAAGACTTTTAACATGGCCTTATAGTAATTTGTTTCATGAAAAAAGTGATTTCTTACAAATAATTGCATGTTATTTTTTGCCTACTAGCAGCAACATTTGGTACTGCATCCATGAGCATGCCAGCAGGATTTGGAACTCCTGCCTCGTACAGTCTTCCTACTAGTTATAGTGGCAACTTCCAGCAGCCCACGTTCCCAACCCAGGCAGCTTTCCCTCAACAGACTGCTTTTGCTCAGCAGCCAAATGGTAGGTCTGCATGTTTTAGATAACCTTGTCTAAACTGGAAACATGGAGAAAATGGTGTCTATAAGTTGGCAATAATGGGTGGATATTTATTTCTACATGAACTTGATAGTAATGTTGATGGGTTCCCACACTGTTTTGGCTCTGTAGTTGAGTCTTCTGATTTGGCTGTGTGCAGTTGTGCCACGACCAAACTGAAATTTTACCAAAATCTCATATAAAATGGTAAGTATTCCCAGGCTTAAAGGGGTTTTAGGCAAGAAGGGCTGTATTGGAATGTCTGCAACACATTATTACACTTTCTCTAACTTCATAGAACACAGGCAAGAGAAAATTGGAAAGTATTTTCTCCCTGAATTTATATGATATCATAACGCTGAAAAAACTGTGTTTGTAGAAATTGGAGATTGATGAGTTATGGACAGTTGAAAACAAACAAAAAGCTCGGCCACAGTGTTTTACACTTATGCTCCTGATCATAAGGATAAGTAGGATCAGTCCTGCTGATTCTGGAGTTCAAACTTAATTTTGGCTGGGAGCTGCAGCAAAGAACTTTTTGAACATTGTTTAGTAGTATTAATTTTTTTTTACTTTTCTTTCCAAGGAGCAGGTTTTGCTACATTTGGGCAAGCAAAGCCTGTAGTAACTCCTTTTGGACAAGTTGCAGCTGTTGGAGTATCTAGTAACCCTTTTATGGTGAGTTGTTTCATGTCCATGATTTCTGTGTGTCCAAAGAAGAATAGTCTGTAACACTTAATTTAGAGATACACAAAGATTCGGGGGTTTTCTTGCTTTTAATAAGGGAAGGCAGCATGTGACTCTCCTAACTGCTGCTCACTGCTCTGATGATACGCCATTTGTAAGGACATTCAGATCAAAGCAGAGGTACTTTCATGCATGTTCCCACAGTAGTGTAATTCCAGAGAAGCAGCAAAAAGCAGATTGCAGTAAAAAAGAGAAGTATTCCCCAGCAAGTTATTTTTTTAAAAATATATTCTGCATTTATGATTTACAATATGGGAAATATATCTTAACTACTTGTCTTACTTTTCTGTGTTCCTTTTCCCCCAGGCTGGTGCGCCAACAGGACAATTTCCAACAGGAAGCTCATCAACCAATCCTTTCTTATAGCCTTATAGACACTTTACCCAAAAGAACTCTTATGTGGTCACATAACATCTCTGCGCCTCTTGCACTGTTGTCTTGTTTCACTGATACTAGCTTTAAACACGAAAGAAGTCTTTAAGAAGTAAAAATAAAAGCCTGCATTGTGTACCTTTAAAAAACTTCAAAAAGAAAAAAAAAAACACCTGACACAAAAAACAACAAAACCAAACCCCCCACCAGGTAATAACGTGCAAAACAGAGGGCTGTGGTAACATCCTTGAACCTGTGAAGTGGCAGGTAAAAAGTAGCGGTATCATGTGTATTAAAATTGGCTAATAAGTTATTGCAGATACCACACTCATTATGCTGCAGTACTGTACATACTTTTCTTAGAAAATAGCTATTTGTGCATATCAGTATTTGTAACTTTAACACACTGTTATGTGAAAAAATGTTACTGGGGAATAGATCAGCCACTTTAAGGTGCTGTTGTATCTCTTGGAATGAATGAGTTGCATCACTTTAACCATTGGTATTGGAAGTCATGAAGTTAAATTGAAGGTTTGTTCATTTCTCAAAATGTTTTCCTTTCCTAAGAGCTCTTCTATTTATACATGCCTAAATCTCTAATGTTAGAGGGATACCTGTCTGCATAATAAAGCTGATCATGTTTTGCTACAGTTTGCAGGTGAAAAAATAAATATTAGAAAAAAAACTGTGTAGCATTATTTCTGTGCAGTAACATTTACTGGATGAAAATGTACACACTGTGTCTTGTACACAGATGAGGTGTACAAAGCAATGTGTTTAAAGTTAAGCTTAAAATTTTCACATGCCTCACTTGGATGTGTTTGTGTCCTTATGATGAATCTTCCTGTTCTAGCTCAAGTGAAGTGACCTGTCACACAGCAGAGTGTTAGGTGAAGTTTGGATTGTTTGGATAGAATATCTGTCATGCTGAAAGCACTGTGAAGGGTATTTATTGGAGAGATTTGCAGCAATGACAGACTCTGAACAAGCCTTAGTTGTGGTCTGAACAGAGTGTGTAACAGCAGACCAAGGGACCACAGATGTAAGAGCCCTCTCTTTATTAAAAACTGATACATATCAGTTACAACTCCTGTGGAATATTACAGTTGTTTTTTTGTTTTTGTTTTTTTTTTCAACTCACAGAAATATTTCCTGCCATACTAGAGTGACATTTGTAGAGGGAAAAGTGTCTGGCTTGTCTTCCTCTGTAGTACTGATAAGATTCAAGAAAAATATAACTGCATCAAAGTAGTTGGTGTTTTACACAGAGATAATTTGGCTAAAGTTCAGTACTGGAACTAAGCAAATAATGTAACTATATTGTGAATACATAAACTGCAAGCTTAAAGGTTTCTATACCAGCTGGAGAATAAATTCTAACAGCTTACAGGATAACAAGAATAAATAAGGTGAGATTGACTTTTTTAAAAAAGCACATGCAAGTCCATTTGAGATAAACATGAAAATTCTTCAAGGTAAGAGATTTTACTTGTAATTGCCTGAATGTCAGATATGTTTTTCTAGGGCATCTGAAAGGTTTGACCGCTGCTTGTAAAAACATTTATGCTAATTTTATTTTTTTATGCTTTCGACTTCTGTTGCCCGCTTAGGGGGGTTGTAATTTCTGTTTGTTTATTTTTGTTTTTTAAGCTTTGGAGATACCAAGCAGGAGACAGGCAGCTTGTAAAACATGCTGCCTGTAAGTTTTCCATATTTAAATGTCTGGTTTTGTCCTGTTGGCATTTTAAAAACAGGCTTCAAGTCTCTCTTTTGTTTCTGATGGAGACTGCTGGACAGAGTGTGGCGTTCAGTTCAGTTCCCAACATTATCTGGGGAGTTCACTGAACAAATCCGCAGCAACTGGAGGTTTGCAGGGTATTAGTGACACCCTTACTCTCACCACTGTATTTTAGCACAGTGTAAATAGTTGTAACTCTTCCTTGTTCACCAACCTTGGCTGTTTTGGATAGTAACAGGTAAATGCAGTACAGAGTTGAGAACTGCAGGGGTTCAACAGAGCTTGTGAAATACCTGAAAATGCTTCGTGCAGAGAACTGGACCAAATCAAAGAGATGTCTTGTCAGTGAGATGAAAAATGTTACAAAAGAGCAACAATACGTGCCCTCTTCACTTACGGTGGTGTAAATTAGGCTTTGGGCAAGGGCTAATGAGATCAGCATCTATAGAGATTGTTCTAATCCAAGTATTACTGCTGAGATACTGAAACTGATTGAAATATGCAAGACACGTAGTTTAGAATATGCTGTAGAAGTAGTGGAATACGTTATTTTTCATAACTGAGTTAACTGCAGATAAAATGTTTGCAACTTTTAGCTAAGCACACCTTTTTAGTCTGTGTTCACCGATTTTAGGTTTGTCAAATTCCAGATAAGCTGAAGATCTTGTATTGCTTTGAGTCTTCTGTTTGAGTCTTCTATATGTTATTGAGCATAAACTGACACTGTAAGTGTTTTGTTGATTAGGTTTTAAAAATAGCTTTATTTACAAAATTAGTTCTTCAACCCTGATTTTAAATGTTTTAATCATGGAAATCTCTGCAGTTGTTCCCACAATTGTTCATGCAAATAGCCTAGTTACCTAAAAGCTGTATTTTTATCCTTTAGCATCAAAGCACCTCACTTGATAATTTTAGTCCCCTTATACAGGAATTAATATGGCCACCTCCTAGATTAGATTTCAATCCTAAAACATCAGCTGTTACAAGTGTAAGAAGATGCTACACTTGCAGGATCATCCCGAGTTCTGTAAAGCAAATGTGATGTCCAGTTGAAAATGTGTTAAGTTTTCCAAAGGCCTCTGTGACAAATTTTCGGACAGGTCATTGTCTGGTACAACTGTTTTAGATTCTCTGGGCATGTCTGATGGTCTTTTGTCAGTAACTAAATTGCCTTAAATTTAAGTACTCAATAGAAGGGAAAGTCCCAAGGTTGTTCTGTGAGTTCCACTGATACGAGGTTCAGGCATCTGGATGTCCTTGTGCTCATTAAGCCTTAATAGAAGTTTTTGTGTCATATGACTAAACTTGAATTAGAAGACTGAGGAATGTTTGTATTAAACTGCTGGTGAAGAAGATAGACCAAATGCATCATCCTGTTGACAAAGCTCTCTGTGCAGTAGGCTCATAAACAGCCTGCTTCAACCTGGACCAGTTTTGCTTGATTGAAAGTTTTCTTTCTCCTGATTTGTTGTCCAGATGATGAAGCCTTGTGCATTGTTGCTTATAACATCGTTGCTTTTGTCTCAGTTGTTAAAGGGCAGTGCTTTCAGCAGCCACACTTGTATTTCTGCATTTGATAGAAATTATGGTGTACATACTTCTGATCAGGAAAATTCCAGCTATGACTGTGAAGTAGCTGCCATAAATGAGAAACTGGGAAATGGAGGTGGGGAAGGAGAAAAGTTATTAACTAACAGCAAAACAATTTTTTGACTCTAAGGGGTGTCCGTCCATTGCTGCCTTCCCTTCCCTGTCACCTGTGCCCAGAATGACCCCATCTTGAAAGGATTCAAGAAGTCTGGACTGCTTGACTTGACACTATAGAAATTCTGTGGTTGTAAAAGGGGGAGAGAATGTTCTGTTATGTCCTTCCCAACCTCAGTAAGGGAGGACAGCTGTCCTGCACTTTGTCTCTTTTCTAAAAACATAAAAAAATAGGGACTTGGACTCATTCAGGGTCTAAGTTTAAACTAATTTTAGAAATTTAATGGGGAATTTTAATGAGTTAATTTTCAGAATTACAGTAACTTTAAGGGTGAGTCCACTGTAACTATGTAATTTAGAATTATGCTAGTAATAGACCCATGGATTGTCTTTTCAGCTGGCTTCCTGCTTCTGGTTAGGGTCTTTTTACTATAAACTTATGAATAGTAAGCCTTTAATTTAAAGAATACCCAGAGCAACAGGTGGTCACCTTTCCCCTCTGTTCTGTGAACATAGAATATTTTCCAGTCATCCCAGTATTGGGAGGCCTAGAGGACAAGCAAGTTGGAGCAGTTCAAGCCAGTTCACTTTAAATTTTTTCCAGGTGAGTAACTGTCCTGAGCTTGCACCTGAGTTTGCACATTACCACAGGCTAATCTTGGGGTAATCTCCTTCAAAGGAGAGTAGAGGAACTAAGCAGTGGGACTCAGTGGCTTACCTGAGTGCTGATATCCAGTCCCAGACCTCTTGAATCTACTACAACAACAGTTAAAATCGTCTGAATCACCAGTGCAACAAAGTTGTTGAAGCCAAACATCAAAGCATAACGCTCCATGCTGAGGTTGACAGCAATTTGAAACCTGACAATGAAGGCAAAGGTTCACAAAACTCTGGAGAGCAAGGATGGGTGGATGCACTTTACTTATGGGAACAGTTTAATGTGCGCACTGCATTCTTCAAAGGACATGGTCAGTTCAGTCTTGGCTATTAAACTTTATCAGCTTCATTTTGACAGAAATTTCTTGGGTGTTTCTGGCTCTGTGACTTTTGTGATTCTTATTTACCCATGACTTAATATTTTTGCTAAATACCTGTGTATATTCATTGGATCACTTTGAGAATACTCATATATTGACCATTGAACAGCCAAGTGCTGAAGCTATCTTGTTCTGACTTGGAGTGTACTATGGTAATGGTTAGGTCATATAATTTTACCCAGTTTTATGCAGGCTAGAAACAATATATGCTGCTGTCATAACCTATTTAAATTTATATCTAGGGAAATTCCAGTAAAATTTTGATAAATATAATCATTTGACAGATTTAAATCAGTTTAGTTAGAACAGTTGTGTGTTGTACTTACGTTGCTATTGTTATAAGGAGCATATAGCAAGCTTTAAATGCAAGGTAACCAGCATAACATGCCCAGATGTTGTCAGTGAAGTGCATAAGAAGCAGAGAACCAGCATCCAGTGCAGAGAAAACTCCCAAAGCCAGTTCTCCAGAGAGATCCCAGTTTACTTTGACATATCCAACTGCCATGGATGTTGCCGAACCTAAAAAATTGAAAAGTAGTAATTAAAACTTGAAAACATTATAATTGAGAGCCATTGCATAACTGTCATTGGATCATGCCAGGAGCTCTTCAGTCTTGGTCACAGTGGGCTTTGGTAATGGTGTAGATTATATTTCCTGTTAGGGACGTGGGAGTCTTCCATTAGTTTGGATGTTGTCCTCCTTGCTTAGACCCCTCACTGACTGATTTAGGAAAGTACCTCATGCCTAAGGCTGGAGGCAGCGGTGGTTTTGCTCCATTTTTAGATGACTATGAGCAAAGGGAACAATCCTACAAAGCATTTAGTGCCAGAATATGTATAATGACTTTGGTTATTTCATGTGAATTACCTTATGGAAAGAAAATCTGTAGCACCTCATGCTTGCTTTTTTTAATGGAAGTGTTATTTTCAGTTTCTGGTGAAAAGCCTTATGAATTGCATTCACCAATGCCTTATCGGCCATCACATGTAGCAAAACCTTTGTTTGCTGGTTGTATGTGCTCTTCATCAGAATTCCAGAAATTGGAGCAAACTAATCCCTTTGGTCCATCCCTGCCATGAGCAGTGGTTCCCAGTGCTGTGAGTGCCTTCTGTACTCTGAAATTGTGTCAAGTGCCAGGGGGTGTAAGTGCAGGAAAGCCTTTGGGAACGCTGCTCAAAACAGTAGTCTGAAGTTCTGGAGTAGCTTCAGTAAAATGGATTTTCATGCTGATTGCAGGGAGGAAAAGTAAACTGACAATTCCCTGTAGAAGTGTGGGATACAGCTCCTGGAATGTAGGGGGAGACAGCTGTATAAATAGGAGCTCAAAACAGAAGCTGTATTGGTGCTGCACAACTAGGTAAATGAAGTTTCACTTTGCCCATATCCTTTTCTTCTGTGGCTAAAGAGAAATGGAATTTGGGTGGACCAGGTAACTAATGAGAGGCAGAATGGCTGAGGTTGGAAGGGAGATGGAGATCACATGGCCCTGCTAAAAGCTCAGTCAACTAAAGGAAGCTGCTCAGGATGGTGTCTAGGTTTTGACTCTAGGATGGAGAGTCCACACCTCTGGCTAACCTGTTCCTGTTTTAAATCATCCTTGGAATAAAAATGCTCTTCTGTGTTTAAGTGGAACTTTGTTTGATTTTGTGCCCCTTGACTCTTGTAATGTCACTGGGCACCACTGGGAAGAGCTTGGTTCCATTCTCTTTGCTCCTCCCCTTCAAGTCTCTGCACATTAGTAAGATTTATTTTTCAAGGGTAAACAATTACAGTGCTCACAGCCTTGTCACATCACACAAATGGTTTCACAAAATATTTTAAGTTGGAAGGGACCTGCATGGATCATCAAGTTGAACTCTGAAGTAAATGGCCCATATGGGGGTTGAACACACCTTTGTTGTGGCAAGCTTGCCAATCAAGATAGAAATGTAATAATGGAATATTTTTTAAGGAGCACTTAGACTGGAATGATTTTTAATCTAGTGTCTGAATCGACTATTTCATAGTATGCTCTGAGTAGTATTTAGAGCACTGTATCTACTATTATATTATTTTAATTCTTAAATCAGCCAGCTTAAGGTGTATTTGAGGGAGGAATATACAAGACATCATTGCACAGGGTTTTGCTTTGCTTACTTGGGGCTAAATAATGTGGTCTAAACAGAGCTGTGAACTTAAAAGTCTTAAAACATTTTGGCAGAATGAGTCTCCTCTAAGAAGGAAAAGCTTATTTATATATGTTTTGTAAGACTATTTTTGAAGAGCCCACTGTAAAGGTTTATAGTAAAATCATGCTTTGTGCACTGTTTATCTCTGTTTACTTTAGTCCTCATAGGAGATGGAAAGGAACCAAACACATTGCTGAAGAATCCCTCAGCACATGATACAGCACACAAGTACCTGCTAATGATTGCTTACCCAAAAAAGTTGCTATTGCTTCGACAGCTCCGTTGTACGCTGGGGAGCTGTGGGAGGGGGCTCGGAAGTCCCACAGCACCTGGACATAATTCACGACCTGGTTAAAGCCGGCCGTGGCCAGAGCCCACCACAAGGACCAGTAGAGGAGCGGGCGGGAGCCGTAGCAATCCCTCAGGTCCCTGCCCAGCTGCAGCAGCACGCTGAGCGTGTGCCTGTGGGGCCTGCTGTTCCCAGCCTGGGGCTGGGGGCTCGGGCCCCCGGCAGCAGCATCGGGGCTCCTTTCCTCTCGGCAGCTCCAGGGCCCGTGGGCAGCGCCCGCAGCCGGCCCTTTATCGGGCCCTGGCAGAGGCTCAGGGGCATCTTTCCTGTGGAAGAACATGCTCCTCTGGGGCATGGGCAGGAAGAAGGCACACAGGAGCGCCAGGGACACGGAAGCCAAGGTGATGGCGTTGAGGTAGAAGTAGGAGACGTGCGCTAAGGACACCAGCAGCTGTCCCAGCACGGCGGCCACGGTGGCTGCCACCAGAGTGACGCTCCTGCAGTAGCTGGTGACCCTCTGGTAGTGTTGGGTGCTGACCACGCTGTAGATGTAGGCGTAATAGGCCACCTCGGTGGCCGTGACCATGCCATAGAAGAATTCCACCAGCTGCATGGCCACCACTCCATGTGCGAAGAGCAGCAGGAGCCACGTGAGGATGAGGCTGATGCCCTGCAGGAGGAGCACGGGCTTGTAGCGCACGTAGTCTGTGAGCAGGAACACTGGGAAAAGGAGAGCGAGGTAGGAGTATGTCCAAACTGGCAGAATCTCATTGGTAACCTAGAACAGAATAAAAGAGGAAATATTAAAAGAAACAAACAAAACAGCCCCAACCCCTCAAAAGGTTTAAAATACCTCCTGGATGGTTTTTGATGGTGTTACTGCTGAAACAATGTAATTGTGATGATAGGAAACATTGAAGTGTGTGAATAGTGCAGGCTTAAACTGCTTTAAAGTTGCATAACTGTAATGTCACTGTGTAAGGACCAAAGACAATGATGCTATGCTCCACTAAATAAACAGATGGATTGTCTTAAAATTCATTCCAATAAAGGCCTATGAAAAAGGCAGGTTTTGATGTGCAGCTGTTTAAAGCAATTGTAACTATGTGTCAGAGGCAAGTCTCTCTAGTTTCAAATCCTATTCCCTAGAAGCTGAAAAGGAGGCCTGTTTCAACTTTTTATGTGAGTCATTGTACACCTTTGGTCCCCTCTTTTCCTTGTTAGGTATAGAAAAAAAAAAGCATGTGCCTCTTACAGTGGGGAACTGGAACTGCACATAGTGTGTAGCTGCAACTAGGGTACTGCACCTTTTTTTTTTTTTTTTTTTTTTTTCTGATTTAAAGTGTAAGAAGTAAGGAAGTCTTTCAGTAAGTTTAAGTTGGACTTCAAAACATAGATGCCCTGTGAAAAAATTCTTTCTCTTTTTTCTAAAACTGTTCTGAATTTGGGTTGGAAGGTGCTGTTTGTGGTTGTCACTTAAAGCTCAGTGCTTGCCTGGGTAATTTGGCCACACCTGGGGCAGGTATCCCCCTTTTAGCGACCTTTGTGACTCTAAGTTGCCTGTTTTGGGGAGGTCTTGCCCAGTAATTGTGGGGCCTGCTGAGGTATCCATTCCTGATCTCTTGTTCTCTGCTTAAGCAATTAGACCAGAAAGGAACTGTGTCAAATGCTGGAGGAATGTTTTTTACTTCTGAACAAGTACTGGAGTGAGTTGCATAGTGAGCAGCAGGTTCATTGTATCTTTCTTTCTGTGTGACTTCTTTTGTTTCTCTGAACTCAGAATTACCTCATGGAATTAACTCGCTGGAGGTGAGTTTGGCTGAAAGAGACAGTATCTGTACTAGACTTGTTTTTGAGTTAAGGATTCTTGCTGAAATCAGAATTAAGGCATTCTATGATGCTGTGTGATTTATATAGGAAATAATGCTTTCCTGTGTGGTTAAAAAAAAAAAATAAAAAGGGAAGAGAAAAAAATCTCCATGACAGTCTAAACCACAAATACCTTTTTTCAGCAGAAACCTTGATTTCACAGTGTGCTGGTAGGTTCTGCCTTAACATTTGCTACTGCACATCAGGAATGACTGTTCTCCATATTAGCTGTATGTGGGTGTAACAAGCCTGAGTTTTCTAATTTTACCGTTAGCTCCATGACTCAGCCACGTGTTAACCATGTCCCCTTTTGTTGGGAGGTGTACTCCTGAAGCAGCCAGTGCTGAACACAGGAGCACAGCAAGGAAACTTGGAGTGCATGCTTTTGTCAAAAACCTCCAATTTTTCTGAATGTGAACTAACCTCCACAGGTTAATGAATGCATGAAATATAGGGAATGTAGGAAATAAGCTTTACAGGTCATAAGGGGAAGGCTGCTTAGCTTTCTTATGTTTTGAAATCAATGCTGCCAGTGTAATCAATTCCATGGTAAGTAAAAAATAAATGTCTCCTCTGGGATGCAGAGAGGAACTAGCTGACCTGATTTTGCTAAAAATATCAACCACCAAAGGGGTTTCAAAGTCCTAAGAATGTAGGGACTTTAAAGTTCAGACCTTCTGCCAAAGAGGTGACTCCTTACTCTTTTCCAGAAGCATCTTAAATATGGTTCTTCAGATAAAATGTTCACACGTCATCTTCCCTTCAGTTACTACAGGCCTAATGCTTTAAGCATTTTAGTTTCTGCTTAAGAGAATAGTTACATACCTCTTCAATTGTTAGGTTTTTGTCTGGTCCCGTTAGATAGGGAGTGAGAAAAGATTCTGATGGCCTCATTGTGGTGAAAAATCCATTTGCACAGATGATCACCGTGGGATAAATCCAGCTATGGCTTGCAGCTCCCTTCCAGCAATCCATAGTCTACCTAAACAAAATAAAAAGGTGGCAAAGGAAGAATAGATGCTCTTCACAGTTGGTAAAAATTCATTTTCAAGTTTACTTTTCAACTAAACCTACACTTGCTCCCCTGAAGCCCTAACCACCAGTGAGGGCTGTGGTGGTGGCATCCAGTGTAACTGGACTTTGCGGGACAGGTGGCCAAGGGCTGCCCGCAGAGGTGACTCAGATGTCTGGCTGGTGTGCAGACGGAACCAAACTAGTGATCTCAAGCTCTCCTGCATGAACTGCACACCTGGATCTCCTCTTAGGCAGGAGCCTCTCACAGTTTCTCCTGAAACTGAGATTCTTTGCTGCAACACATTCTTGGTAAGAGACTAAATGTGCTCAGCCTTGAAACCTTGACTAAGTCATATATAGAACTTACTGCACATATTGCATAATCCTTTAGACAGAAGCAGTTGACTAAATCTGGGACTAGGAGTGGGTTTAAGCTGCACCCAGACTTCCCTCTGAGAGGAGTTTAAAACCCAGTGACTTAGCAGGAGGGTCTGACAGTTTTACCTGGTCCTGTCATCTCTGCACTAAGTCAAGCACGCCTTCCTGCTGGGTCTTGTTAAACCACTGTCACATTTACCACTGAACTTTGCTATACAGATAAAGGGAATTGTTGCTTCCGTCTTGTGAGTGAAATGTGTGGCTCCAGCTGTGCCATGTGCCTAAGCCAATGTTCCTCTCACTAAGCCAGTGTTTCCCTCTTGAACCTGCCTGGCATCACAGCTGCAGCTTGTAAATGAGCAACTGGGATCAAGGTGCATCATCCCTGGTAAACTCTCTATTGTCTGTCAAAGGTTGTTCATAGTGACGTGCTTAGGGCTGAGTGGCTGTGCTGTAGCAGAAGAATAAAGTTCCATTACAATCTCATTTCTGAATAAATGAGTGGGTGAACTGTGAGATTAAAGCTCATTCTGTGTGCTCAAGTTTTTTTTCTGTTGATTTGCAGCCTGAATACCTAGCGACACAATGACTGTACAAGTGTTATTGGTGGCAATAAAAGCCATCAGGCAGCTCAGTCCATTGTGACCTCAGTTTCCTCAAAGTTCTTTAATACTCACTGTGTTTCTTGCACTCCACTCGTTGGAGAGGGTAAGGAAAGATGCAGAAACTATCTGCTCATGGTACCTGCTCAGACTTAGAATAGAAAAAATATTGACTTCACTTTTGAAAGCGATGACCAAAAGAAAAAGGAGGCTTGTTTCTTCAGTGTAGTTGGCAGCAAAAAGAAGTCTAAAGAGATTGGGTCTTTCAATTTTATTTTACTTGTTTTGTGTTAAAATGTCAATTTCACTGATCCTCAAAACAAGAGAAACAGTGTTTTTGGTCAAAAACATATGAAAGCAAAGCACTAGCTGCTGTTTAATCATGCTGCTACAAGCTGTGTATCTTAAATTGTTGAATTCCACTCTATAGCAGGCACTATTGAAAAAGTGCTTCTACTTTTACTATGAGATGTTATTGATTAAAACTTAGTATACATCATATGGTATAAAGACAATATCTCTGTGACCTCAGAGGAATGTTAGAAAAAGCAGCTCTAACCTTGTAACTTGATTTAAAAACATTCCCTCTGTAATCTTTCTCTGACAAGTAATTGTAAATAAAATACAGTGTCTAGTATCTTTAACTCGAGACCTTATTTGAAATGTGATAAACATATAAAAATTAAGCCCTGGGCTGATCAGTAACATCTGCATAAATCTTGCATCACCTCCAAATGCACTGAACAAGTGAGTAGCCAGCACATTCCCAAATAACTCCAGAGGTGATGAATTACCTGTCAAAGCTCTGGCTGTGGTGCATTCCCTGTGGATTCAGGTGCAGTTCTTCCTAGGATGACTTTGTCTTGCAGAGAAGTCAGAAACCACCCTTTAGAGCTGGTGGTAGTCAGAAATTTCTGTAACTCTTTCCAAAAAGTTCTTTCTAAACTTGATAAAATGTTATCAGAATTTAAATAATAACAACTTTTCATAGCTGTTCTTTCTTGCAGAGCATGTCCATGAAGTTTGCAGGGAAAGTGTTCTTTATGGTTTTTGTCAGCAAACTGAGTTCTATTTTTAAGATAAAACTATAAGATTCACAGTAGCTAATGATTAATAAAACCTGTTGTGACAAGAAAGCAATGATTGCATTCTTTCTGTTAATAAATACCTTTAAAAGCTCTGGTCTCTGATTCATGGAAAGACAGAGCACCAGTTTTACAGTTCGAGCTGACAGTGGCCCTGTCTCATGCACAGCACAGAGGCCTCTGGGCTGGGGTTTGCTCTCACTGTCCTGGCTTTGCTGGGGCTTTGGGAGGCAGGACAATAAATGCTTCCTTCTATTAATTGGTAAGGAATTACTTCTGTATAGGGATGGATCTGTCATTTAAGGACAAATGGGTGAAATTAAGGTGCTAAATCTAGGTTCTAAGCTAAAAAATTAACAGACTTGCTTTAGAAAAATGCTGCTTTGTTTTCCTTTACCCATTTTTTTTAGACTGTACTGCCTGCATCTTCCAAGGTTCATCAGAGGCTGGATTTTGCCCTGAAGCCTGTTGGTAGGACATGTATTGACCCTGGGAGCAGATGCTGAGGCCCTGACAGAAGGGGAACTTTGTGAGCTTGACAGAGCCTGGCCTGGTCCTGCAGGTACAGAAGGTTCTCTCAAGTGCTCAAGTGTGTGGTGCAACCAGGCAGGCAAACGCTCAGGGGAGCTGGGCCTGCCTCTGCCCTTCATCCTCTTCTGTGGCCAAGGGCTTCTGAGGCAGGGAAAGAGCCTTGGGAAGGGAAGGTGCTACTGGGCAGGGGCTGAAAGGAGCTGCTGGCTCATTTTTCTCTGGTATCCCATACAGTGCTTGGGCATGCTTTGAATACAAATACACTATTTGTTCCTTCCTTGTTTGCTCAAACTGGCCTTATCAGCTTGCTGGACTGTATCTTCACAGAAGATTTGTGCCCGAACCCACTAATGTTTCAAAGGTGTATTTAGAGGTGGTTGCAGCTATGGGGAGGGGTGTGCCCAGCTCTGGAGTTCTGTGTTTGCATGGAAACCTTGAACATGCTGGAAGAAAGACAAACAACACTAAAAGCTGCTAGGAGAGGTGGATGTGTTGAGAATTTCATTTTCCTGCAGGACTAGACAGCCTGTGGTTCCAGTATTCCTTGTAACCTGCCAAGTCTCATCTCCTCTCTAAAGTATGTGTGTGCAGGTACACAAACACACAGGCACACGTGTCCATCTTACTCTTTTAGAAACCTCTGATTGCTGGGTGAGTTCTGATCTGCAGCTGAAAACCCAGGATCACATAAGGCCTCGTCTTTTGCCTCCTAACACTCCTAAGAGCTGTCTTCTTTCTCCTCTATTTTTCCCATAATACTTCCTGCCAGCTTCCAATCTCAGAATCATTATTTTGGAGATTAGAGAGAATAGGAATGGATTCTTTTCTATTTGAAGTCTTACCTGTTTTCTGAAGCTGGTGTTCTCTAAAGCTGCAAGCCACACACATTGTGTCTGTTTGGTTCCTTTGCTCCTCAGTGGCATCCTACAGTCACAGAGAGCGCTGAGCTCTAGCCAGAACATAAGAATTTCTACGGTTGGTTGTACCTGGTTGTTTTAGCTATAGTCTACTACTGGTGTTATGTTTTTTAACAACAGCAAAAAGTTTCACATGTTGTTGATTCCTTTCCATTTGTCAGATATTGCATGGAAATATTTGTTTACTTTCTGGATCAAAGGCAGTTTGAGACCATGGAGCTGAAAACACCAAGTTCCTCTTCTTAATTTAAACAAAAACTCTAACTTCTAGTCCAGGACTGACACCTAGATCTAAACTGAATGCCTCAAAAGAAGATGGCTACTCACAAGCAAGAATAGCAAAAATAGTCCTTTCTCTCCTGGATTCTGTACCTGTTTCTTCAGGCAGGAGCATTGTGCCCTCAGTTCTGCAGTAAGAAAAGAACTCTCACTGGAGACTAAGTACATCTACTTTTATGACTGCATTGGTTAAATTGTTCTACTTAGATCCAGTTTATAACAGTGAATATCCCCACAATGCACAGTACTAAACAAAAAGCCTAAAAATATTAGCCAGGTTCATTTTGTCAGAGCCTACTGATTCTTCTTGTGACTTCAAACAAATTGCTTCTGCCTTGCCTGCCCTCGCCTCTGGGCACTTTGTCCAGTTGCAGTGTGTGACAGTGGTATGAAAAGCTGGTATGTCTATACAAATGATGGCTTGTGTCTCTACTGGAAAAAATATTCTGTAAATGCTTAGTGGTTTTTATTAGTTAGATGTAGATATTGGAAGCTAGAAGCAAATAGCAATGCAGGAATAAAGTCAGCATATGGATATAGTTAATAATAAATTAGACATTCACTATGCAAACTCATTTCTAGTCTCTTTTTTCTTCTCCTGGACTGTCTTTTGGACTAAATTAGCTGTAGGAGACTTGAAGCTTCTTGACAAACTCTGAGATGTTGATCCTGCCTGATTCTTGGCCATGATAAGTGGACCTCCCTCACTTGGCACTCAAAAGCACACATGATGCTATCTGTTTGTTTCAGTTATAAATCTTCTTGGATATTCCTGTTCATCTGGAATTTTCCTGTGTGGAATCAGCTACATTTCTCCACAATGTCCTCCTCTGGTTTTAGTTTGTGCTGCTTAAGCCCCTTGATATTATTTCTTTTCCTGCTGAAAGAGGAAGACCTGAATTTAAAGTCAGTCCTGAATTTAATTTTTCTGGAAGCAAAAGCAAAGGAGTGGTGCTCTTGCATTTTGCTTGGACTCTTTAAGTTGTTCCCTTCTTGGCAGAGGTTGCTGTGAAGTCAGTACAGTGTTTGTAGTTCCCAAATGTGGGCCAAGCAACAACTGTGAGGTAGCAGTGTTCCAGTGGAGCTCCCAGGAGGGGTTGTGCAAGCCCTGCTTTTTGCAGCCTGTGTGCACAGAAGTGTGGGATGAGACAGGAGGAGCCTTTCCCCCATCTGCCTGTACTGGGTATGGCAGAATCGAATGATGCAACCATGATCTTTTCTTCCTCGGTTCAGAACAAGGGGAGTGTGAAGGGGAGTCAGACCCTTCAGCCCCTGCATCAGCAAAAGTGACAGAAGCAGCTTTGCCAGCACCGCATTCAGGAGCTACAATGAGCACAGCAGGGTGAACTCTGCTCTCTGCCATCATGCATGGGGGGATGTAAAGGGCTCTGTTTCTGTGTATAAATTACTGCCCTTAAGCTATTTATACGCATGTAAATAAGAATCTAAAGCAACTTATCTTTTATTCTTGGCACAGTGCCATTCTGGTGAGCTCTCTGCTGGCATATGTTGTGCTGAAGTGCTGGAATGATTCAGTGTAGCTTTCCAGGGCTGAGTTGAACCTTCTTGCACTGCTGTTCCCTGCATTCTGTTCTTCTTCCCTGCTGGGAGCCCTTCTCCCAGGAGACCTTCTCCAGCCTGCCTGCCTCCTACAGCCGTGTCATGTAGTTTGTGACAATCTGCTCTCTTGACTCGTGCTCAGCTTGGTTCAGCTGCTCTGTGCAAGATCTTGCTATTTTCCTTTGGCATTTGCATGAAACCAGCACACAAATGCTTCTGATCATGAAAATCCCATGTATGACTACGAAGTAGCTGCCATAAATTAAAAACTGGGAGAGGAGGAGAAAAAGGCAGAACAATTAATGAAAAACACATTAGAGAAATGCTGCTTCTTCTGAAGATGACAGTCATTCTGATTTTCTTTACTTGTATTCTGGCAGTTTCTTTACACTTGAATTTTTGCTTTGTGATTGAGCAAAATCTCAGCTTTTCAAGTATACAGCAGATAACTGTGAAATGAACTGCCCCTTTCTTCCATTCCTTACGCCTCTTAATAAACATCAGATAGGGAGAGGGATAAGAACAGGTTTTTTTTTTGTATTAGTGTAAAATGCAGAAGTAGCTTCATTACCCACATGGTCATGAATAATCTGCATGAAGAGCCCGAATTCATCCTTGTTTTGCTTTTGTACATTTCAGTAACTGTGACCACAATGGCTTTAGTAAATACACTGTGATTTTATATCAGTATTTACAACAATAGTGGCAAGGCTATTTATGAAGTCTTACATATTCCTGTCCTTAATTTTAAAGATTTTATGTTTGATTCAATCTTTACTCTTTCAAAATCACTTTTGCCTTCTCTGTGCAGAGTGTGAATAGCTCTAATCTTCTTCAGATCCATTAGAACAGAGAGCTGAGAGCCCATTTGAGAAAATGCAGAAGTCAGTAGGTTTCAGTTGACTTCAACATGAGTGACACTGGGTTGACTGAAGTTAGGAACACTGTTGTGAGATAGGATAATCCCATCCCAAATGGAGTGCCCAAACTATGGGCAGAAGTCTCTATTGTACATGTTGAGACACAGACCAGGTTTGCTTCTGAGTTGGGATCAGAAGTTACTTGAGCTGAAATAACTCAATCCAGACTGTGCCTCACAGTCCTGAACTCCCATTCTGCATCTGACAAAACCAGTCTTTTGGGAAGAGAGGATGTTGTTCAGTGTCCTATTAACTACTAAAACTGGTCAGATAGCGGGGCCTGGTTAATTATGCTCTGGTGTATCTCTCTGTAAAAGTCACAGACCAGCATCTCTAATCCTAAATGCATTAAAAGGCAAAAGGGAAGAATGAAGACAAATAATGATGAATGATGATAAAGATTGACAAGAGAAGAACAATATGTCTGGATTTATAGAGAAAAAAGATAATTAAGTTGTCCTTTGGCATAAGAATTTTGCTGATGAGTTGTCCGAGCAGTAAATAGCAAGTAAGGTAACTGCACTTACTTGAGTCACTATGTCCAGTCCCAGGCCTCTTGAATCTACAACAACTATTGTGAGAATGGTCTGAATCAGCAGGGCAATGAAGTTGTTGAATCCAAACATCAGGGCATAGCGTTCCATGCTCAGGTTGACAGCGATCTGGAACCTAACAGGAAACTGGCAGGTCAGTCATTCCCACCAGGAAAGTTATTGCTGTCTATCAGTCGATGAAGAGAAAATTATTCATGGAGATGGTGCATGAAGGACAGAGGAAATAGTGCTTCCTTTGTGTGTTTGCTTCCTTGCTTTCTCTAAAAAAGAAAATAAAATAAAAAAAAAATTCTGGGGTACCATAGTGTATTTTAGTATTTTTTTGAACTGCATGGGCTGCTTTTCTAACCCCTGCTTTCAGATGATCAGGTAGAATGTCAGTTCTCTGCACCCTTCCCCTTTGTTCCTTCTCTGCCTGCACAGACTGTGCCAGACAGGCTGTAAAGAGTCCATGGCTGGAAGCTTTCAGAGACCAGGCCAGTCAAAGCTCTGACCTGCTCTGGTACTGGCAGCACTTCTGCCCTGGCTAGGAGGTCACTGTGGGTATCTTCTAACCAAACTTTCTGTAATGATGAGTTTTGCTTTGTGATTTGACAGTGGAGGTAACATGCTGCTTATTTCTGTCAAGAGCCTGTAGATTTTTACTTGCAATATCTTTTTTGACAATAATCACAACATCTTTCCTTGCAATATATACCTGCAAAGTTTCTATACAAACAAAAGGGTGTTATTCCTTCAGGACTCATTTTCAATTATTTTAGCTTGGAAGTTTTTGCAGGATTTTACTTTGTTGGGTTTTTTTTTTTAGAATATATTGAAGTAGTCCAGGTGTAATTTACTACAATATAGTAACAATCTACCAAAATGACAATTAAGAGGTCTCTTGGCTTCCTTCAAGATAGGCATAATCTTGCCATGCATTATAATGTTAGCAGTTTTTCAAAATGGTATCTGATTAATTTTGGAGTTTGACACAAGATGCATTCAGTGTTTTTGTTAATGAAATACTGTGGTATGTCTAAAGACATTCCAAGCAAGAAAATGACTGGAGCAATAACATTTTATATTTATTACACAGGATAAAATATTTGTTATTAATATTATTTATACATTTCTATTTCTGAAAACAGAATAGCTTGGTCTCCTATTGAGAGCTCATCTGAGTTTATATGTCTGATGTTCCCTTTTATTCCTTCTTTACATCTTAATATCATTAATGATTATATATATAAGATTATGTTGGGAAACACTTTATGTGGAATCTTTTCCTGCATTCATGCAGTTCCTGGCACACTAAAAGGTTCACCAGTAGGGGGTCTGGGCATATGGTGCTCCTAAAGAATGGCTGTCAAGGTATGCTTGTCCCTATTGCTCACTTTGCATCCTTCATGCGTGGAAGGAGGAAAATAGCTTCTACATTTTGCTGTTACATTGCCTTTAGTAATAAAGTTACCTTGTACCTTGTTCAATGTCTGCTTAGGTAAATGTTTGATGTCCTTTTGACAGTTTTTCTTTCCTGGTTGTTTGGAAGAATGAAAACAACATAACCAGACATTTAAGTGTCCTTGTCCTTACCTAAACAGTTATGTCTAGCATTAGGTCAGCTACCTCTGAGGAAAAGGATGCCCAAAGCAAACTCAAAGTAGGGTCAGTATTTTGTGCGTGATGGCAGCATTGTGATGTTGTGTACTTACGTTGCTATTGTCAGGAGAAGCACATAGCATGCCTTGAAAATGAGATATCCAGCATAACATGCCCAGATGTTGGTAGAGAAGTGCATGAGAAACAGACAACCGGCATCTATTACAGAGAAGATCCCTAAAGCCAGTTCTCCAAAATGGTCCCAGTTAATCTTTATATATTGTACTAGGAAAGATGTTACTGAGCCTAGAAAAAGAGAAAAAATACGTGTAAATATTGTATCTGTTCCACAGCCTGTATGACCAAGCCTTGACACACTCACATGCTGAAAGGCAATGATGAATAATGAAGAGCAGTCTGAAGTTTGAAAGCATTTCTGATGACTTCTGCAGCCTAGTCATTTTACTTTATTTGACTAGTCATTTTAAGACAACTGTATATATCAAGTCTCTGACATTCCGTTCTTAGTGTTTTATTCCACTTCACAGGATAAACTGTAATGTAGAAGGATTCATTATTTAGGTGTCTGTACACAGCATGTAACTCTGGGGAGAGAATTAGGAGCATGGTTTGGAGTTCAAGAGGGAAATTCTTCCACTGTCTCCCAGCTCACTGCACAGCTAGGCCAGTAAACCTTCTATTGTAACAGTTTAGCTCTATGCACCTCATAGAGGGGGCAAACTGTCAAAAAAGTGAGTTTTGAGGCATCAAGGAAGTATATCCAAGGAAAAAGAAAGGATAGGTTTGCTTTTTTTGGGCCTCCTAGAAGATGTATCTGTTGCAAAATTAAGCCACCCGACTGCCCATCTTAGGGGTCCCAGACAATTAAAAAACTTCTATACTTCTACACTGAGAAATAGTCAAGTCCATGAGATAGAGTAGATCAAGGAGTAGATACTACAGGAGGATACTAGTTCATGATTCACTTGCTCTATTTAGTTGCCTACTGCAAGAGTAGTATCAGTTTCTCCTTAATGACTGTAAGGGTTTCTTTAATGGTGAAGTGTGGTGCTGATAAAACACACCCCACAGCTTGTGCAAGTTCTTTACAGCAGCACAATGCAAATGAAGGTAGGGTAGTATCATACTCTGATGTTGGTTTTGATAACCTCATTTTGCCTGTGTGGTGTGAGCATCTGCTCCTGGTAAAAGTGTACCAGTTAACATCAGTATCATAAGCATTCATAGGGTCTTTTTTTTTTTCCCTGAAAATCTTTGTATCTTGAAATGACTAAATTTTTTCTTTTCGTCTGGTGCACAAGGGTATTTCACTAGAAAAAAAAATCTTAATGACAGGATTATATTCTTTTTGTGTGAAATTTTTTAGGGAAACTCTCATCTGTGTAAGCTGATAACATTGTTAGGGGAACAGCGCAATACTTGTTTTGAGGGGAAAAAAAACACCCAATAGCCTCATCCAAAGAAACAGGGGTGCTTCGAATGGATTTACCAGCTAGATGCAATGTCAGTGTGACCTGCACATTTTCTGCATCATGGTAAGATAGTTATTTGTCTGGTACTAAAGAAAAACCAACATAACTTGCATTTGAGCTGTAGTACATCAAAGACGTAGGTCTGGAATGCACAGGGGGTGCAGTGGCTCCCTGGAGTGCCTACAATGGAATGGCACTTTGAAAGTTTACTAATGTGAAACTTCAGAGACTGTCATTGTGAACAATGTTTAAACACTGACTTACTCAGAAACGTTGCTATTGCTTCGACAGCTCCGTTGTACGCTGGGGAGCTGTGGGAGGGGGCTCGGAAGTCCCACAGCACCTGGACATAATTCACGACCTGGTTAAAGCCGGCCGTGGCCAGAGCCCACCACAAGGACCAGTAGAGGAGCGGGCGGGAGCCGTAGCAATCCCTCAGGTCCCTGCCCAGCTGCAGCAGCACGCTGAGCGTGTGCCTGTGGGGCCTGCTGTTCCCAGCCTGGGGCTGGGGGCTCGGGCCCCCGGCAGCAGCATCGGGGCTCCTTTCCTCTCGGCAGCTCCAGGGCCCGTGGGCAGCGCCCGCAGCCGGCCCTTTATCGGGCCCTGGCAGAGGCTCAGGGGCATCTTTCCTGTGGAAGAACATGCTCCTCTGGGGCATGGGCAGGAAGAAGGCACACAGGAGCGCCAGGGACACGGAAGCCAAGGTGATGGCGTTGAGGTAGAAGTAGGAGACGTGCGCTAAGGACACCAGCAGCTGTCCCAGCACGGCGGCCACGGTGGCTGCCACCAGAGTGACGCTCCTGCAGTAGCTGGTGACCCTCTGGTAGTGTTGGGTGCTGACCACGCTGTAGATGTAGGCGTAATAGGCCACCTCGGTGGCCGTGACCATGCCATAGAAGAATTCCACCAGCTGCATGGCCACCACTCCATGTGCGAAGAGCAGCAGGAGCCACGTGAGGATGAGGCTGATGCCCTGCAGGAGGAGCACGGGCTTGTAGCGCACGTAGTCTGTGAGCAGGAACACTGGGAAAAGGAGAGCGAGGTAGGAGTATGTCCAAACTGGCAGAATCTCATTGGTAACCTAGAACAGAAGAGGAAATGTCAATGTTTTTATTTTTGAGGAAAGGAAGTTCATGTATTTTAGATGGTGTTGTAGGAGGAAGTTTTTTCTCTGAAGGAATTCATAAAATATATAATCACATTGAATCAGCATGGGACTGTTGGGCAGGCAGATGGATCTTGGATCCATTAAATGGATCTTCTGTTTAGGCAGTCTGCTGAAAATTGTAACTGCTAGTGCTGTTTAAAATTGTGTGATTTTTTTTTTATTTTATTTTAATATTTTTAAAAAACTTCAGTGTTTTCCCTTTCTATTTTCACTACTTCAGTTAAAAGAAATCATAGAATAAAATCATACCTCATCTGTGGTCAGGTTTTTATCTGGTCCTGTTAGATAGGGTGTTAAGAAAGGTTCTGATGGTTTCATCATGTAGAAGAATCCATAGAGGCAGAGGATCAGGGTGGGAAAAGCCCATGTGTTGGTTTTCTTTTGCTGCCAGCAGCCCATGGCCTCTACAGCAAAGCTGAGAAGAAAGTTTGTTAGAATAATAATAATACTGCCCATGCAAGTGCAAAGAGATCTTGTAATTTATTTTTACTTTGTGGTTTGTCATGCCAAGGAGTGCTCTTTAGAGGCTGACAGTTCAAAATAATTTTTATTTATAATGTTAAAGCAAACAGCTACTCCTTACATTTGTCTGCTGCACTCTGTAGAAAGTGCATAAAAAATGAATTGGAAGATCCTTGACTGGGAGACAAACTACCTTGTCATTCCATCTGCACTGACCAAGATAAACACAGGAAAAGCCTTTCTAGATAGAAGTGGTTGAAGACAGCTGAGCACTGAGATCTCTCTTGACACTGTGACTGATCACAGCCAAGCACCTTGTTGAATGACAAGGATAACTCTGGAGCCTAGCAGATGGGAGCTGCTAATAAATACAGAAAGGATGTCAAGCCAGACTCTCATCTGGAATTATCTGCATGAGAAGTCCATTTTGGATACAGACATCATATTTTTCATTTACAAAAGTGGTCACAGAAGGTTAACAGTCCATGCTAAAATGAAATGAAGCAGATATTTTTGTTCTTGTCACTAGGTGAGGTGATGGAATAAATTAAAATTTGCAACTCTGCTGGACAGAGCCCAAACAGAAGTCAAAATGGGTGTAATGGGGACATGCAAAGGAAATAGATGGTAAGTTAATATCCATATTCATGTTAGTATAGGCAATGTCAAGAATCTTAATGTGTGCAGTTTATCTTCTGGAGCCTTTTGGAGTTTGCATATTAGCAGATGGGATTTCTATCACTCTGCTTTTGACTTTTGTTCTGCTTTTCTACTTCCCTCCTGATAACTCTTTCTTTTTTTAGGCAAAAAAATGAATCTTATAAAAATCTTAAAAATGAAGTAGTGTTTTTTTCACAAACATTTTTGTAAAAGCTGAAGGAAGGTCTATTCAGCCCAAACCAGTCATGTCCTGATGAATACATCCCCCCAGGTTGGATGGGCAGAGGATCCTTTTTTATAGGATGTGATATGTATAAGCCAGTAGGCTTTATGCATCTTCTTTTCTAACTTCATGCTATGACAGCACATTTTACTGACAGCCTGACACACTAAGAAACGAGTGCAAATCAAAGGAAATTTGAATTATTTCATTCCCAAAAGCATGGGCATTACAGGATTTGCAGCAGAAACAAACCCAGCTCTGTGTCAGCTCTGCACTGTGAGCCACTAGATGGCAAGGTGACCCCAGCAAGGCAAAACGAGCTCGGGAGGACTGTGAGATACTGAGTGCTCCAGGAAGGGAGCATTTCTGCCCTTCCTTCCTCCCCAGCTCTTGTAACACCAGTCTGCTGCAAACGTGGCTTTGGCAGGACAGGTTTGGGCCCTGCCCGGGATCTTGCTCACTGAGTCACCATAACATCCCCTGGCTCTCCTCTCACGGGGTAATCATTACAGCCATACTGCACCCCAGTGCCATGGGAATGCTTCGTGTGATTCTCAATAAGGCATCGAGAAGAGCGGGGTGGAGAGCATCTCTAGCACTGTAATGAGAAACATTTGTACAAGTCAGCTTTGGGACGTAGCCAGAGCATATTTTTCCTTTCCCAGCTTGGATTTTCTGCTGTGGTTTGTTTCAGGTCTTTCCGTTTGCTCACCCTCCAGCAGGCTGTGTGACACAAGGGCAGCAAGTCTCATGTAGCCTGTCTAAATGTTCCACACCTTGGGAGGTGAGTGGGGGAAGCTGCTGCCTCCGCAGGGCTCGCAGGGTGCTTGTGCTGCTCCTCACATGCTGCCCATGGGTGGCAGGGCTTTGCCATCCTGTGCAGGAATTCATAGTTTCAGCTATACATGGAAGAAATTCAGGTGTATCCTGGTCACTGCATCCCTACAGTGCCAGCACATGCATTGTTGAGGGTTCTGGGCTAGACCTGCACCTCTAATCTGCACTTTTACTCTTTGAGGTGCCAGTGTTAGGCTGGTAGGTGAAGTGAGAAATTTCTCATTTGATATAAAGAGCTGTGCAGAAAAAATATACTGTCACTGGTGCTGAGCTGAGAAGGGCAGTGGGCTGAGGGCTCTCAGGGGCAGCCCACTCTGCCCCTGGGGAGTGGGAGATGGTGTCACCTCACCTGCCCTTGGGTCTCTGTTCCACTCACAGCCCAGCCCTTGGCCAGCAGTGAGCCCCCTGCAGCTGCTGTACAAGCCCTCCTTTCTGCATTCATAACCACAAACCTCTAGCAACCAGAGCTAGCCAACCAAGCCTTAATGCTTGAGGGGGAAGGATCCAATTTGTTCCTGGTTCAGTCATCCCATGTGATCAATTTGTCTTTTACAAATCTAGGTTTTTGTTCACTTAAGAGATTTTAGGATGCCTTGCTGCTGTTCTGCAATAAAACAATCCTCTGGGTTTTTTTTCCATCAGCAATTCTTGGTGCCAGAGCTGTCAGCTCTTCTACACACAGCCTAACACAGCCCTCCAGTTCCCCACTGGACTGCTCTCTTCTTTCCTCCCACTTTCCCTAGTTATTGCAGGATTTCATATTTCTAAAGTTTATATATAATCATACCTTCTGTGCTGGAGCTCTTCCTTCCTTACTTCCAGGAGAAAAGCCTCCTTTTAGTATTCCCAGTCTTCTGGTTATCCTGTGTGTATTGCAACTACTGGACTCTGTTTGGGTTTTGTGCTTTTCCTGTTCTTCTGGTATTACAGCTTGCTCTGACACCTCCTTTGGAATGGCCCCCAGCTGGCTTGCCTTCAGCACCCTTAAAGGAACAGCCAGATAATCCTGGCCTGTCTTTGCCCCAAGGCAGCAGTGAATCAAGACACAAACTACAGTTTAGTGCCTAACTGGCACAAAATCAATAGGGATAGTTCTGTTCCCAAAGAATTTTTGATCTATTTGACAGGATATATGGTTTGGGAGACAGCTGTGTCTCAAACTGGCCTATATTAAAGAGGGAGCAGTAGCTGTGCGTGGGTAGTTGAGTGTGAGGGCAGGCAAATACCACTGCTGTAAGACTGGAATGTATTCACAACACTTACATGGGGTTTCAAACTGTTCTGAAAAATTTAAAAGGTAAAAAGTAAAACACCCTGCTCTGCTTCCTCTTGACTTGTTGGCAAAATCGTCAGACCTTTTGCTTAGACAGGTTCTCACAGTGCTGCTGATGGGGATAGCTGCCCTATAGCCAGCTTCAGAAGATTCTGTAGTGCTCACAACAGCAGAGTATACACTCTGAAATTTACAGATTTTCACAAAAAGTACGTGCACAAATCTAGATCCACTCCCACCCTGGTCCTACAGCATATAGGTCTGGAATGAGGGATGTAATAATAATTTTGGAGTATGACCAATACTGTAGGAAAATTTGTAAATATTTGTAAATAACAGTGAATTATCCAACCAGAGGAAGGCAGCATCTTGGTTCACACACAGTAAAATGGAACAGTAACTTTATGGACGTGTACATGAATATGAAAAAGGTATGACATTCCTTGCTGGGTCAGAGGAGTGTCTCAGGTCAGCCACCTTTGTCTTAACTCTTGGCCATATTTTTCAGCCTTTGCCTTCTACCCCTCAACAGTCAGTATTACAGGATTAGTGATGTTAGAGAAGCCATCCCTTCTTCTTGCCTTTATAACTTGTTTGTTGGCCTTTTCCCATGAAACCATCTCCTCCTGCCTGGGGCAGTGCTGTGTACTTACGGAGTCATAGAACATCTTGAGCTGGGTGGAAGCCATAGGGATCATGATGTCCTACTCCCTGCTCCTCACAGGACTACTGCAAACTGAACCAGGTGATTCATGGCACATCATCCAGACACTTGTTGCTTTATGTCCCTTTTTTACACAATGAAGTCTGGGCAAGTACTGGTTTGAAGAGCGTGATTTACCCTCTTAATCTCCTCTTGTTGGCCAGGGAAAGTTAAGTTGCATTACCTTCCTGCAGTATAAATCACTGGCTGGTTTGTCTCCTTTTGGTTACAGGTTAGTTGCTGAATTCACTCTAGGTGACAGATCACTGATGTAGTTGTCAGAGGCTGGGCAAGGAGCATTCAATTGCAGTGGGCATCCCTTTGGAAGCATTTCCAAAGCTTTACAGGCATCCTTACTTGCATGGCACTGACTTGCATTGCAGCTCTCTGATTTCCTCTGTGCCTCTCACAAATCTCTGAGACTTTGGGAGGTTTCCAAATGTAGGTGTTTCCCACTGTCTGAGGACTGGGTTGGTTGAACAAGCTCTTACTTTCTCACTCTTACTGGCACAAAGCACACTCTGCTTTCCCAACTGAGAGCAAAGCAGTGAGGTGCTGGAAGGTGGAGAAAATCTTCCTGTTGCATTTAATGAAAGTAACAGCAGAACAGAAAGACTTACAGAGAACAGGTTATATCTTAGGCAGGTCCTTTAGTTTTCCTTTTATTTTTCTTCTGGATCATCAACAGAGAACAGGAACTACTCCTTTGTCAGTGGAATTGTCTGAGGATTTTCCTTTCTAATAAAATATTATGAGGTCACTGCTGAAGGTTTGAAGCTGTCTTTTGTGCAAGTGCTGACTGTGGCTGGGTGCACTGGGCTCTGGTGTCCCTCTGTCCCCTACACTGTCTGTCAGCTCTTCTGATGGCATAGAAGCCTTCAGTGTTTAAAGGAAGAACAGCAGTTTTTTGTTTCTCAATGAAGTGGGGAAAGATGATTCTGGTGAGAAAAAAGTGGCACATAGTAATAAAAAATGAGCAAAAAAGCTTTGCTTTTACGAGATGAGAAAGAATAGAAAAGATTGTATTAAGCTTCACCTTTAGAATTTCTAACTACAGTTAGAAATAGATGTATGTAGGATGCTTATCACCAAAAAAACCTCCCCCATCTCCAAGTTTGCTACTTGATGATTGGGCCTGGTGACTTTAACATCTTATTTGTAGTTTTTCTAATAATGCCATACAATCCAATTCAATACCTGTGCTTTAGTCTTTCTTGGATTGCATACTTTTAAAATCTCCAGTTAATTAACAAAAGGAAAGTGATATTTAGGTCAAAGAATCTCATTCAAATTGGTTA